ATATATATATATATATATATATATATATATATATATATATATATATATATAATATACATTGAGTCAAGCCTTCCAGTAATTCCAAGTTTCTGGAGGTGGGTTAGCTAAAATCATTTCGTGAGTTCATCAGTGAAAACGATATAGTTGTTTAGGTCCTCATGGGGATTATGAATTTTCGTTTATACCAACCATTATTTTACACATTTGTGAAACATACATGAAGTGAATAAATATAATATGGGTCTGTTCAAAAACATTCGTGTATATTTATTGAGGGAAATTGTACGATCTAAGTGAATTCCACCTAAATGAATTTCATTTTGTGGAAAAGTTATGTATTTTGAATATACTTCCTATCAAAGTTGTATTTTCTCAGCTGGATGGTTGAATGTATGGTCGTTGCTAGGGAGGTTGAGGATTCAATCGCGAGACCGAAAAACATGCGTTCGAATCTCGCGTACGGCGTCGTAGTTGTACACTTCTGAGGATCTCATACTAGGATGAAACAGACATCCAGTGCTTCTACGTTTTTAATGGTGGTCTAACATCGATCAGTTCATGATCTCAGTTAATGTAATGCATTTTTGTTGTTGGTTGTAAATCGATAATTGACTAGACTAAACAAACTGTGAAACATTTTTTGCAACCCATCATAAAGTATCTTAGAGGAGGTTTGTGAGTTATTCAGTGGCCTTAAATTTAAGTCACTGTAAAGTTTTGACAAATCAAACTCAACAGCATATATAGTGTTCTGCGTTTCGAAATTACTTTAATCCACTAACTCTTGACTTGAATTATTTGAAAGACTTTTGAATTAATATTACAATAAAGAAGTATTTTATCAGTTTTCGAAGACATCCCGAAAGGGAAAAGTTCATCCATAGGTCAACGCAAAATACTGTCGACCAGATGTGAAGGAGTAAATGAATAGTATTTTTAAAACCTTGGGTAACTTACTGACCAATAAAAAATAATAGTGCTTACTAGTGAAAACATTTGACAATAAAAAGATAACAAGATTACAGTGGATAAATAGCTTTGATATGATTAATAAGCACTTATATGTTAGATTATTTATTTTAGCAAACAAAAAACGTTGTATTTTGAAAAGAGCAAGAACAAAGATTTTAGCAGAATAGCATGAATTCATTTTATTTCGTAGGTTCTCTCTGATTTTTAAATATCACAGGGTGTAAGCAGCTGACGAGAACCTACGAAATAAAATGAATTCATGCTATTCTGCTAGAATCTTTGTTCTTGCTCTTTTCAAAATGATAAAGGGAACTATGTGTATGAAAAAACGTTGCAGTTTGGTGCTGGCGATGCTTTACCATTTTTTTATGAATAAACTGATAGAAATTAGCAGTGAGATCTGGAGTAGGACTTGGAGAACTCTTCCTAACTATTCATGCACCCTTTACCGTGCTATCATATACAATCTAGCCAGGAAAAGGTATTTCTTGCAATTTAGCTTAAGCTATCTATGGTTACATAAAAATATTTTTCTTAATACTAAAAATTCTGAAAATCAAATATTGGTAATTTTTACTTAATTCAGATTATGATCAAAATATTTCAATTCTCTTCAATTTCATGCAAAAACCCAAGAAGCGCTAAGTTAATCCTCATCGGATTACTCAGGGTCAATACACTCGTTGTTTGTTCAAGCTTTTTCATTGTACATATCACCTTAAGGTTTGAGGGTAATTTACCTCTGACTGTCTAATCTGGTGTTGTCTTAGTTGCGCATAACTCTTCTACTTTTCCAAAGTTATTCAGTCACTCGATGTGCTGGAAGAAATTTATGATTATCGGGTTGCCTAAATTCTTTGCTATATCAGTTTAGTCATGCATATGTCAGGTGGATAGAGAAGGTTAATACACAATTTCTTCTAGGGTTAAACCTTTTATAGTATAACCTTTTCTTGATCTCTATGGTTATATCATTTATAAGTGGTTCTCTTTCGTCCAATGTCCTCTCGTAAAGTGACATTTTAGATGAATATATTATTATGGTTAACAAATTTTCTGTATTCCATCTAATAACAATTCTACTAGCTAGATTAACAGAAATATATAGTTATATCCACTGTACAGTCATGCATGGTTGTCCTCATACGTGAATATCGAAAAGGGAGAAAATGAAAAGGAACAAGAAAAGAAAGGAGAGGACAATAATAATAGTAATGAGGGCGGAGTGAGGAACGAAGAAGGAGAGGAAAAGGATGAAGAGGAGGAGTAAGGACAAAATAGTGGAAAAGAAAAAGGAGAATAATCAAATATACTAGTGTGAGGCTATGTTATGAAACGTTTCTATCAATTACTAAGATAGAGGATTTGTTAAGACTAGTTAACATTGAAAAACATTTTATATCACGTTCTCACATTAGGTGTAGATTCACTGAAAACCAGTCATAGCTGACACCATTAGAATCTAAGTAATCTTTCCTGAAATTTATCATTAATAAGCTTATAGTTGTTTTTAACTGTACTTAATTTGAAACAAATGTTTAGTGTTCCTTAATTTACTTTAAGTCTTTTGTTGATGTCAGTTCATGATGAAAGAAAAAGTAATTTTCTTAAATTGATTTGGTAATCAGTACTGTAAGACAAGGATTATTGTTAAACCTCTTGGCATTATCCACAGTTTATCAGTCATAAAGGAATTCAAACCAAGAACTAACAAGATGAATCAACAGTTCGTTAGATTTTCATTTCACTTCTGATGCGTTCAAAGGTTCCATCTTACTTCTATCTATTATTGTTGAAAAAATGCATTGAAACACTTTAGACAATCCTGTCAAAATTCCAGTTCATAATGTTTTCGGATTGAAATTTCAATGTCATCTAAGTGTATTAACATTTCTGAAGCATGTACAAATCTACACACATACCCTAACATATTTTTTGTGTGTTTCATTTTGTTAGAATTCACCATGCCACTGGAGAATAACATTTCTGTCGGATCATACATTGTCAATGATAATTTATGCTTGTCCGGAATAGTTTAACCCTTTACTGATATAAGGAAGTATATGGCTTAGTTTCAAGAATGTGAATAAAAATCTTACAATACTTAGAAAGCAAGACAATCAAACAAAAAAATCGAATGTAACAAGTAAGAAACCTTTGAAAAAATATGTATCTATTGACAAGAAAGAACGTGTTTAGGTAATTGTATTAACATATTCGATAAAATTATAACAGAGAATAGAACTTGGTTACTATAGAAATATTCATATTTTTAATCATTATTCCTTACCGATAATTTAACTAATTTTGAAATCATCAGAAGGGGTTTGTGGAGATTTTAGAAATTTCACAGGTTGAAACCATGATTCAATTGAAGCTAGACCACCATGGAAAACCTGAGTTCGAATCTCACGGGGTGCAGATCGTGGATGCGCACTGCTGAGGAGTCCCATACTAGGACGAAACGGACGTCCAGTGCTTCCAGTTTTTCCATGGTGGTCTAGCTTCAATTGACTCATGATTTCAATCTGTAATTTTGAAATCCTTATCAAATAAGGTAAGATATTTACTACAAGTCAAAGAATAATATACATACTAATTTTGTAAATAGCTGAAAAAGGATCTGAATTAAAAAAACTCCCACAAAAGTAACGAAAATTAGTTTTGTTGCAGTTTTGCTCTCTGAGCTCCATCAAAATCATCCACTTGAGCTACAAATCTGCACCATCTCATAACGAAACTTAGGTTTTATTAATAAAGAGGGTTATTGAAGATTATACTATTTGAATTTAATATCCACAAATGGATGAAATGAAAGGATCTACTAATATTAATAGTGTAAAAAATGTACATAGTAAATTATGCAAATTATTATTTTTTTTTCCAAATTCTGGTTAGAATACAAAGTTTCTTCAACATTTCACGGTATATGATAGAAATATGCACCAACTATTCAATTAATATCACTCAATGGGTTAATCAACAGATCGATGTACAAAATATTTAATTATTTCTTTTATCAACTTTTGTAACTCCTGAAAGTGGATTTGGAAACCGATCTATGCTAGTGTGTTTTATGATGAAACTTTGTGATATGGTTTTAAACACCAGTGAAAATATAAGTTTATTCAATGTTTCTAATACCTTTTACTGATGAGTGATAACTAAGATGACATTGAAACCGTTTGCATCCAGCTTCAAATTTGTATTACAGTAATAAAAACTTGTTTAATTTTAAATTCAATCTCCAAAATTCAAAATACATGTAGGTGAAATTATTTCAATTTTATATTGAAATTCATAAAACTCTAACTTTTGATGAACTTATCTTTATTCAGTCAAATTTCGGCATAACTCCAATAAAGATGTTTTTTTTTAAAAAAAAATGTAGCATCTAGATACTGATTGCTGCCAGTAAAGTGATGTATATTTTTTCTCCTTGATCATAAAAATACACTTGGTTATGATAAATTTTATAGAATGTATCTTAAGTTTGCATGAACTGAATAACTACTCAATAGAAAATGATAATAAATTTCTGGTATTGAAATGTAAGATATATAGGGAATTATCAACGAAATTAGTAGTAGTGTCGTGTTTATACAAATATGAAATTAGATAAAGTTGATTAACCTCAAGCTATCTGTTAAGTTAGTAAGATAACAAATCTATGAACATGAGTGTTTGCAGAAAAAGAACTAGAGTCTAAGTATTCAAACATTCCTTGTTCAAAAGGATCAATAGTTTCCAAAGATAAACAGAGATGAAAGGCCAAAACAAGAGATATCATGAAAGAAATCATGGGTAGTGGTAACAATCTTCAACAATCATCACATAAGAAAGTACATGTCATCTAAAATAACAACATTGTTCACCAAATATTTTGCCGTAATAATCCTGTATTGTCTCAATCACAATTATTAAACATGAAAACGATCTAAATATACATTCAAACTATATGTGTCAAAATGATCGAATATCAAAATCAAACATCATATAAAATCGAATTTTAAAAAAAACATACTTACTTTTAGTATAGAACAGAAAAGTGAACAAGATCAGCAAAAGTAAACATGAGTTATTCATGAATTCCATGTTTATCAATAATGTTAAAATGAAGATATAATATATTAATTATCCACAAACTCTCAGAAATAGTATTATTATCTGAAACAAATCTTTTTCCCCTTATGATAATGTATGTATCCTAGTAACTTAATGATTCCATGGTGATAATGTCATCAATCAGTTCTGTGATGAATGATGATGATGATGATTATGATAATGACAATATTTTCGTCAATTTATTAAATCATATCAATGAAAGATGTTCAGGATAAATTTTTATGATTGGTTATCAATAATCATGTATGGTGAATATCTACAATGCAAATGAGGTATATAATATATATATATATGTATATATATATATATGTTTTATGTGCAAACACTTGTGCTTAATCCACATAAATTCATGTTTATATATGCATATAACAAGTAAAACAATGTTATTTATACTAAATGACATAACAAAATAAGAAATTTAAATATTTTAATTCTTTTCAAAATAGAATTTTATAATCAAATATTCATAGTTGAGTTATATAATCTATAGAATTTATATATGGAAGTGAACAATATAATCGATTGTATTTGTAAAATCAAAAACTTAATAATCTCCACAACCCCTATACTAGTAATTATCATGTGCTCACTAGTGACTAGCTTCGTGAGGGAATCCTCAAAGTTCTAGTGAGAAGCCGTGACCAATGGAGCTAATCCATATCGGGTAGAGACAGGTATCTACTTCAGTACAATGGAAGATGGTGGCGCAATTTCTTGGACTGGTTGATGTTAGACACTATCACCACTGGATGTCAGCTCAGTGGTCCAGTTGGTTAAGCGTTCGCGCGCGAGACCGAAGGCCCTGGGTTCGAATCCCACGAGCGGGATCGTGGATGCGCACTGCTGAGGAGTCCCACAATAGAACGAAACGGCCGTCCAGTGCTTCCAGGTTTCCAAGGGTGGTCTAATATCAATCGGTTCATGATCTCAATCAAAAACCTAATAATCTCCACAACCCCTATACTAGTAATTTGAAGTAAATCCAACGTTTTGCCTGGTAATCTAATTCAAGCTTTTTCAAGGAAATATATATTTCCTATAAATATCTTACAAGATCCTGTGGCCTATGTATACCATTGGTTTAAAATAAGAGTTTTTCAACTACTCCAGATAGATTCTCCTCAAATAAAAAAAATATATTTCCTTAAAAAGGCTAGGATCGGATCGCCAAGCAAAATATTGGATTTACTTCAAATTCTTTCGTTGAGATTTTACAAATACATTCTTCCTCTTTAATGTCTCACATCAACTTGGCGCCCAAATACTGTGAAACTATTCGTTCAAATTTAGACGAAAGTTTTTATTTATTATTCTGCAATGTAATAGATTTCTCAAATAATTTTGCATTCGTTTTTACTTGTTATATTGATTAGTTTACCATATGGAAGTATGATATTTAACAAACAATATTAATATATTTAATAATAGAGTTTCTATTTAATTGTAAGATAAATAGTAGAAGGGTATCCCTTATCTTAGTATCGATCCCAGCGGAGGAGGAAATCAGGAAGAGGCGCTGGAAGTAGATAGGACACACATTGAGGAAAGCACCCAACTGCGTCACAAGACATGCCCTCACGTCGAATCCTCAAAGCCAAAGGAAGAGAGGAAGACCAAAGAACACATTACGCAGAGAAATGGAGACAGACATGAGTAAAATGGACGAAAATTGAATAGAACTGGAAAGGAAGGCCCAGGACAGAGTGGGTTGGAGAATGCTGGTCAGCGGTCTATGGTCCATTGGAAGTAACAGGCGTAAGTAAGTAAGTATCCTAGTATCTATTACCTTTAAGTGCATGATTTCCATGATTCAAATATATACATTGTATGATGAAGTTTATCTAAAAAAATCTCCGGATTATTGATCCAACGCTCCACTGAAAACGAAATAAAGCAGAATAAAGAATGAACTGTTAACAAATAAAGTCGTTTTATGCAATAAAATGTTGCATTCATAAGTAAATCACATTTGCGAGTCAAATTATTAGTTTCATGTGGTTTTAGGCAATATTGAGTAAATCGATCAAGGAACTCATGTGATAATTAATCTGTAGCGAACTAATCCTATATAACCTAAGCATTTTACCGAACTCTTACCAACTGTATATTTTTTAGGTTTTGTTGATTTATGTCATTGATTAACATCATAATACTGATTAAGTAACAGATTTAATCCAAGAAGATACGTTGAGTTAGTATGAATGTCATACATTTGGAGTGAAATTGTACCAAGAAAACTTTCATATAAATCTCTATAAATCCAGTCCTCTGTATAGACAATGAAAAAATTTCGAAGATTCGTTACGTAGCTTGATAATACAAATTGTTATCTATGACACTCCATTTTTGTTTTTTTAGAATAATAATACTTGTTTAATGAGTTACCGATTGTTTTCTATTATTTGAATAATTTCAAAGAAAATAAGGCAAATATTTCAGTTATTAATTAGTTGATTAATTACTTAATTTAAACACATAAACGTTGGTACAAGGAGGCACCAAATAGATATGCGCCACATAAATCATGCCATTTGTGTGAGGGCTGGGATACTGCCTGTGTGGCCAAACTGAAGCAGGTAGTTTATTTTGGGGAGCCACACTCGGAGCCTTTGACCTAAAGGTCTAATCCACAAGGCAGTGAAGCAACGTCAGGAGATACAGTCCTATGGTAGCCGGTGACCAACTATAGGTTCATACACCATTGGTTTAGAATCAGGGTTTTCCAATTCCCCTAAATGGATTCTCCTCAACCACCAACCCGATTAAAGAGTCGGACATTCGCCACGAGAAGGCAGTGAGTAGGACTTCTCTGACAGTAGTTGTATGCACGTGGCCGTGTGAGAGTATTTCGAGAAGGAAAGCTGACTTTCCCCACTCGCGGCCGTACCAAGGCATTTAGGGGCAGTGCCAGGGCATTTGGAGGCTATTATTTAGTAAAATAAAGACAGTTCAAGGAGAAAATCTTTCTTTTTGACAATGTTATTTTGTAGAGTTGTACAAGTTTATTAATAGTTATTTCGCATATAATAGTATATGATCTAAATAGCAAATTATAGTAATCATTCATAAGGTTACTAAAAATCCATCAAAATATTTTCTATTGTCTGAAACAAGTCACGTAATGGTTGAAGTGCAATAATGAGACAAAATTAAAAATGACATATGGAAGAGATATGAAAAATAGTTGACAAGTTTAAATAAGTGATGAGACCAGGATAACTGTAAATACTATCGTACAATTTCAGAAAATGATATCACTGGGACACTATTTTTATTCATTGGACTGTATTTTACTCAAAGATGCAATGGGTTTTTTTCTTTATATTATATGGTGTTTATTTTCACATTGTTAATTCTACTGATCACTTTTTTATTAGTGTAAATTTACCACTTCATATCAACTATTTTATATCCTTTCTCCCTAAACGGAGAGGTTGGTGGCTCGAGCCCATCCTGAGGTTGCCGAGACATTTGACGCCAAATACAATCAGAGTCACTGGTGACTTCATCTTGCATACAGCAAAATGAAATCATTCCGCTCAGGATTCCCATCGAACAATAGAAACTAAAAACTACCTGTATATTGTTTACGTAAAAGTGTATACATTTTTTATAGGTACATATACAATTCGTTAGTATAATTAGTAGATGGTAATGTACTGCTTAATAGCGTGAAATTAATGAAAGAAATGTTTTGGCCTTGTATTTCACACAGTAAAGGATTTATTTCATTCAAGGGAGATATTCCTTGTGAAACTGTCTAAAGATCATTTCCAAAGATAGGGTTTAGCGAATTTTCATATAATATACTGTAGTCACCCTGTTATATCTTTGTATGAGAAAGATAAGTTGGTACGACTGATCAGTTCAATGTACATATACACTGATAAGTTAATAATATTATTTGACCTAAATTTCAATACAACACATTTTTTTACTTTCCAGAGTATTTCAAGAGGAGGAACTGACTCTCTTCACCCTCGGCCTTACCATGGCATTTGTGGACATAATTAAGTTAGCCTGAAATTCACTTTTAAATTAGTTGAACTCATTGTAAATAACAACTGAAGTAGTAAAATTTCGGTTTATTTGATAGAAAATATATCTCGTAAATTAAGAAATTAATGTGTTCTATGTACCATGAAGCATAAGAACTTGCATTTAAACTATGTAATACTTCATACGGTAAATGAACATCAGTACGTCAGTTTAATAGAAAACATAATAACATGGCACCACTTATTGGCAATCCAATTATAAATCGATAGTATTGTTTCTCCATTTTTTTCAAATATATTCCACATTAACTTTGTGAAAAATAAACATAGATAAGAACAGATGGTGGTTGGAGGTAGTCGACAGGAAACCCTGAGCCCGGGTTTCGTGCTACTTGGCACTCGTGAAGCTGAGTGACACGGGATTGAATCCGTCAGGGAACACCAGTTCCCTCAAGATTACAGGTACACCTTGCTGACGAGTGCCAAGTAGCACGAAACCCGGGTCTAGGGTTTCCTGTCGACTGCCTCCAACCACCATCTAATCTTAACATAGTGCACACAGTGTTGAGTCACCTAGACTGGTGGCCACGTTGCAACATGGTCGATAGCATTCGATCTTCACTAATAAGGACTTGACACACATGTCATTGATCACCACCCAGTGACCAATCAATTGTGATAGATAAGAATAGTTAAGTTTTTTTGGTCATCGTACTTTTTTATATTTCATAAATTATGCAAAACTGGGCAATGAACCCTTGAGTATACACCATCTTCATGAACAACTAAAAAAACGGTGAACATCGAGGAGAAAGTCGTTTTTTTAAAAAGAGCGAAAATTTAGAAAATAGAGAGAATTTCTAGTTTAAATGTAATTACATTTAATATGATCGTAAGTTTTAAGGGAAAAATAAACGAAAGAACATTTTACTTCCCTACAATAAAGAAACACTACGAATTGGAATGCAAGTTACAAACATTTGAAGATGGAAAGAGAGATTCGTGAAAGTTTTATCGTGATTAAGATCATACAAATATCATCGTTTAAAATTATTTTCAACGAATAATAATAATACTAATAACAATAGTGATAATGATCCTAATTATTATAATACAATTTTTTTCTCTCACAATGTATGCCTGTGATTAAGAAACAAGCTGAGAATATGACCAAATTTTACTGCCGAAAGAAAAGAGTGATGTATGCTTTTCAAGATAGATTCTTAAATATTATGAAGGATATATTATACGAAATCTTTATAAGAAATGATGTACAGATATATTTACTATATTATTAAGCTGCATCGTAGTATAGGATACAGTGGACATCTAGGATGAAGCTGGACGATCTAAACTTCGCACACGCAACAACAAATGCAGAAGACGACTATTGTAGCAGCAGTAGGTCTCAACATACACAAAGGGAAAAGCAGGATTCTTCGATACTACACAGAATGCACCAATCCAATCACAATTGACGGAGAAGATTTGGAAGATGTAAAAACCTTTACATATTTAGGCAGCATCATTGATGAACAGGGTGGATCTGATGCAGATGTGAAGGCGCGGATCGGCAAAGCAAGAGCAGCATATTTACAACTGAGGAACATCTGGAACTCAAAGCAACTGTCAACCAACACCAAGGTCAGAATTTTCAGAACAAATGTCAAGGCAGTTCTACTGTATGGTGCAGAAACTTGGAGAACTACGAAAGCTATCATCCAGAAAATACAAGTGTTTATCAACAGTCGTTTGCGCAAAATACTTCGGATCCGTTGGCCAGACACTATCAGCAACAGTCTACTGTGGGAGAGAACAAACCAGATTCCAGCGGAGGAAGAAATCAGGAAAAAGCGCTAATTAGATTTTACAAACTACTGTGTATTGGATATCGGAACACTGAAATGAACTTTTAACAACAATAACTCGGAGATAAAACACAGAATGAGTTTGTATGAGCTGTTATACATACTTGGTGTTAGGATACCAGAACTATTTCAATTCCAAAAAAATCATCTCAATGTTGTAAGAAAATTCTAAAATAATTGTAATCCTTGTATCGACGGATCAAGTGATCAAAAGTGGTAGTTACATAGCGGCATATTTAAAGTTATTTTAGAAGATAAATTTCATTCTTCAATAAAATAACTATCAAAGATTGCATGTTGAGTCAAAGACCTTGAAATGTTCAAATAAGTTCCGTCAATGACATGAAAGTATATTGTCTTGAACTGATTATATAACTCGTTACGATAATCCAGAGGAAAATTGGAATTCCAAAATTCCAACTTTAGTAATGTATGATTAATATTGGTAACAGTTGAGGAAATTTGAAGTTATCTGCAACTATCCTAATATCAATATGTCGGTATATTCCGGGTAAAAATCCCAGATGAGAAACACAAAATGAAAATCACATGCTAATAACTGTCGCTCGCATACTAAAATGAATGGAAAAATAGCTGAAAGTGCTGGTTGTGATACACCTAATGAACATCGAAAAAGTTAAGGTTTGATGTGCCCCCACTTTTATTCATGTAGTTGGATCTATAAAGCCAGACATATTTTTCAAAGAGGAAATGTGATAGGTTGAGTCGGTCAGACATATCAGTTCATGATCAAATGATGAGAGCTGTTAATGTGTGCATACCATTGGTTAAGATTTAGTTGAATTATTCGAGGTTGATAGATATACGCTATCGACTAAAAGTTTGACTCAAATTTCCATATCAATGAATAGGCGTATGTATAATTTCCATTCGGACTAGTCACTAAAAGCTTTCTATTTGTGTTTGGTTTCCTCACTCAAATATCTGGTTGTACTCTTATAACGAAATTATATACATTAAAATTAAACCACAACGACTGTTTAACAACAAAAGACATGATCTCAACCTAACATTTCCACTGCATTCTACATTTATATACAATAATAAATGAGTATTATTTGGAATAATGATAAAAATATTGAAAAGCTTCAATTATATCAAGTAAAATTATTGAAATATTGATGGAAAAAAAGTGATAATGCAAAGAGAGAGAGAAAGAGAAAATAAACGTCTGATAAATGAATGAATACATATAGTATGTTAGGAAAAATTAATTTACAATATATGATACTTTTTTGTAGTGACAATGATCAAATTATCAGAACTCTATAGAGATGGTGAATACAATAACATTGACAATAATAACAAACATTTAAAGTACATAATTGTTGAAAGACTTAAGGATAGAATTAATGATCTAGACTAATCATCCATCCATAAATGGAATACACAAATATACAGAATGTGTAATGCTGTATGTAAAGAATTCAGTTGTTTTTCTTACTTAGTTTCTAATAAATTTTATTGATTAAATAAGTGGATTGATGATAATGGAAATATAAAATAATAATGTTTTAACTTATTAAATGATGTAAGTAAGTGGTTGATAATCTTTTAATCTATTTAACAAGAAGATAGTAGTATGACAAAGTTGAACATCTAAATAAAATAAAGCATAACAACATCTTACGGTAGAAATATTTACCAACAAAAAGTAAATAAAAAAAATTTTTTTAAAAAGAAAAAGAAAAAGAAAAAAAACAGAATAAACCAATACTTTTGGAGATAAACACAAATGGTATTATGATTATTTTAATCTGTTGAACCGGGTTTTAATGGAAATAAATATGTCATGATAAACATACAAATATCTGGATTAGTCCAATAGCTAGTATGTGAAGTCAATAGAGAAAGGTACATATTTTCATAACGTGATATTTGTAATTCAAAATCTAATCGACATTCAAGTTGTAACGGTTCATAACAACATAAATCATTTTCAAATAAATCATTAGATGATAATGATGAAGTAAATGAATTTGTTGTTTTTTGATCTTTTTTATTTGTAGAATTACAAAATTCAGAACATTTCTCTATAGAATTAATTTTCTCATCATTGTCATGGTTAGATAATTTTTCGGAAAGAGTAAGATCGATTCCTCCTGTTTCTTGACTTCCACCAGGTAAATATGGTGCTCGTGAGAAGAAACCAAATAATCGACCTATTTTAATATACGTAAAGAAAGGTAAATTAAGAGTGAAAATTGATAATTTGAAGGCTCTATATATTCATATTTAAAACAACAACAAAAAATAAGGAATAAAGTCTATAACTTACCATTAAAAAGGTTTGAGTTATTCCACTGTTGATATTCTTGGTTCGATTTTAATCGGTTTTGGTTAGCACATGTTCATTCTTAGCGGATTACCTCAATATAGCCATTTTCACAAGTATATAAGTTGCAAATAGGACCGAATTTGCGACCTGAATTCCATTACTAACCACAGTTCATCTGTTCTATAAAAACATGTGTGGAAAACGGCAATATCGAGGCAATTCAAACAAGATGGACATATCATAACCAAGACTGATCAAGAATATCAACAGCGGGATAACTCAATCTTCTATAAAAATGATATAAATATTATACCAGTTATACAAGTGAGTGGTTATCTGGACTCAGTAGCTAAGTTGATGACACATTGACGCCTTAAGACAAATGTACTGTTGTTCGAGTCTCGATGTGAAAATCAATAGTGAGATGCAGGTATTACCAGCTGACGAGTCCCAAATAAGACGAGACGTGCATCCGGGATTTGACTACTAGCTACAATCCACTTGTTTAAGGTTTAATTTTAGAATCATATAGAATGTAAATCTTTGGAATGAAATACGTAAAAGCTATGTGCATTATATTTACGAACTCGGAATACGCAGAGATTAAACTAGTAGTGTATATTGTTACCATAAGACACCTTAAAGTTCTCGTATTAGGCGAAAATTAGGATAGAATCATGTAAATGATTGAAGTTGTGGGTCTACTGGACGCAAACAGCTTATTGTTTGTCAAAATAATTAACACTATTTCGTTTCCTCTATTGTTGCTGAAGATAATTCTATTTGAATTGAACACATTGGTTGTTTTTAAGGGCGGCTAAAAAACACTTAAATAAATCTATGACATGGACAGTTGCTAAAAATTTGTATCGACTTATGAACAACTCTTTGTATTGAAACCGAGCGACTTAGAGAAACATCTTGGCATAAGAACTCCAGCATACAGGTACGATATCCAGGCACAAAGAGAAATTATCAGTGACTAGACAAAAGAAGTTATAGAGTATATTTCAGCTGATACCAAATGCAGACAAGATTTTGTATCCGTTTGGTTGGATAATAAAGGGTAGATGCGTGGGCTAACAAGATAAATGTTTTTCTAACGAAAGGCAGAATTATGTATGCCATTTAGACAGTCGACTTCTAGTGTTGTTGAGGTGTTGGACCAGACGCAAAAGATCCTATGTAGTCATTTATGTCAAATGACGTCCTAGGAATGATTGATGGGTGTGTTGTGTTAGCATTTATGGGCACATGAAAACTTTCTAGACTAGATTCTGGAATTTATGCGATTTTGTGGCTTGAAAATCTGTCAGTGGAGATCATCTAGTAGTTTCCTTTCGTGTTCTGTATAAGTAGGATGTATTTCAGTTATATTAACGCCTTTCTACTCGTTATAGGTAGGTCATAAAGTCAGGACGGTCAGCATTTGATGCCTAGGTATAATAGAAAGCTAACAAACATGCTTAATCGACGTCAGTCGAAGATAAAACTCATATACAAAAACTAAACTAGAATTTCAAGTTTACTGATGAATAAAATATAAAATCCAAAATTATTCATAGTCCAGTTATTATTTTTCCTTATTAACTCACTAGCAATTGATGAACGTCTAGAGGAATCTGCATCTTGTGTGGTTATAAGTTGATTTGTATCTGAGCAAGGGTTTTTCGTTACTTGTTGATGCTAAGACAAAAAAAATCAGTAATGTAAACAAGTTGCAATACTTTTTAAACAAAATTTATTTAAAGCAAAGTTATTACGTAAGCACAATAGTATGTTTATAAAGTTAAGCAACTTTTGGAGGTTAGACTATTTATCGTGGATGTTATAGAATACTAAATGTGACTAATATCTGTAGTCGAAGTAACCTGCGGTTTGCCAAGAAGTAACGACAAGCATATCCGGTTACATTAAACATAAAACATTATATTGTAGAATTCATTCTATACTAATTCCTCTAAATGATTGCTTTGTACTTTATGTCAATAAACTATTTCGGTTGTAATATCTGTCTCTCTACCGAACAGTCCGATTTAAGTGACTGTGCAATTAAATGTCCAGAACAAAACGATTTCCGTTATAACAATAACAAACAATGAATATTGGATTCACATAGCAATTTCCAGAGACGTATAATTATTATGCAATCAATCAACCAATTGATTAATCAGTGAGTATTTGGTAATAATCATTACTGACTTACACAATTTTGTGGTTTTGGATATTTGAATTCTTTACCAGAATATTCAAGCAAAGGAAGTGTGTCATAGCATGGTTTTGAAACAGCATCAACTCGATGAATCAGAGCTGGCTGGATAGTGGAATAATATTTTAAAATTAATGGTTCTAAACGATAAGCCTAAAATAAGTGCGAAATGAAATAGAGAAGAAGAAAGATAGATTATAAAGTCGTAAAAACTATTTTATAAAACTATTAGACAGAGAAATCACTGACGATACAGATCTGCTCTTTTTAGTTTAATTATATTGTTTAACATGTCTCTTAAACGAGGAAGCATATTGTTAGATAATTAGATACAAATACATATAAATTGGTAATTATTGAAGTTTGGATCACTTTTGAAAAATAACTTCAATTTTATTCTGACTGCATTCATCTTCAAAAATGATACTTATATACGTGTATGGAGTGAACATATTTATTTTTTATAGGTAAACCAAATAAATGCAAATACTGTTATTGATTTAGTAGTCTAAAGGTTAAGTGTCTGCCGCGAAACCTTAAGGTCCTTGACTTGATACCTGGTATGATCATAAGTATGAACTGCTGAAGAGTACTGTACTAGAACAAAACAACTGTCCAGTACTTACTGGTTGTCTAACTGATAATATTTCGTAGTGTAAGCCATGAAATACTGTTGCTGATATTCGTAATCTTTCTTCTGATAAACCACACTATAGTTGCATAGATATAACAATATTTACATAGGTTATTCAAAACAAAAAAAACAGAAGTATAATATAGATTCTTCATATGACAAATGAACAGTTTGTTCAGACAGTATAAACAATGGAGAGTACTGATAATCTTTTGTACTTGAACGCTTAAACACTGACTTCCAAGTCCCCAGAAATCCTCTGCTCTCTAACTCCAAGAATGAAAAACAAGTGCGAGATACAGATTGAGCTTTACTTCCGAGATTGGTTTGTTTATAAAATGCAGGGGTAATCATAGTATGCGACCCTGAGACTATACAAGCTCCCAGAATCATGTTCAAATAAGTAAGAAAATCGGTTATCATTCAGGCAGATAATATTGACCTAATCCACCGTTTTCTAGAGGACGCTGACTGCCCGAAGTATTTTTACAATTTCCCCGGCTTCTGAAAACGTTCTTGAGAAATTATAAAAAGGACTTTAACAAAAGTCAATGTACTACGTACTACTATCATTTTTTTTAGGAAAATCAGTTAAATTGCCTCTTTCTCACAGCACATGACTCGAATATTTTATCGCCAAATGTGTTTAAGAACGCAGACAATGTATCTGTTATTATAACGTTAACAAAAACTGCCATATGATTGACAAGCCACTAATGTCTGACAACAATTTTGGCTAAAAAAAGACCAAAATGAATCAAGTGATCATCATCTCGTTTATCTAAGGTGATTATAACAATCTTAATGGATTGACAAACTAAGAATGGAATATAAATACTTTTCTAATAAACATTTTTATCTTCATTATAATGGTAAATTTAATTTTTATAACTAAATGATGTAAACTAAATTCTCTTTTTTTGGGTGTATTCGTTGTAATATTGTTACTTCTAGGAGTACATTGTCAAAATAACTTGTACATATAAATATATATTTGGCTTTCATTCTAACACAAGATAGTAAACCTATACATTTTAATTATATATAGTTTTTCTTGAATACTTCCATGTAAAACGCGAATCATAATATTAAAAACAAATATTACTTACTACAGGATCTGCTGGGTGGTAAATGTTAAAAATCCGGGGACAAATTTTTCGAGGAAGTATTGAGTCTTGAGTTTGAAAAGGACCAGGGCGGATACCACGCAAAACCAAGTACACGCCCAAAGGTGAGCCCAAGCAGAAAAGGTTTTCTAGCTATAGAACAGTGTACATAAGGATTAAGTAACGTGTGCTGAAAAACTACACGGTTGGAAAATGAACATGTAAAGAGAAATAACAATGATAATCGCATGTGGTATGAAACAACTGGTTTGTCTTAGTTTAAGACTTACCAGCATCGTTTATTTGGGAGCTTATACAGAATCAAGACTTGGGATAAAGTTTTTGTTATATTACAAATTGATTGAGTACAAAAATACAAATCATTGGATTTCATCTTAGTGATCTAAAAGGTATCGCGTACTCAGAGGTTAAAGCCCGTGTGCAGTGGTGAATTCGTTTGGGTGAGAGGTTCGAAAGTACTTGGAATGCACCTTCATGATGATGAAACGTCATAAATTTAATTAATTACAGTGTATTCATAACACAATAATAACATACTGAAATAAACTATCATGAATAAAACTCCTTTCATGGGCCATTCTACAGATTCTTTGAAATCTAGGTTAATGCCCTTTTAATGTTGGATGACAGTTCTAGTTGTCAGTGTCTAGACCTAATAAGTACATGCAAGTTTCTGTTGGTTTATTTCAATATGCAATAAATTAATAAAAAATAAAACACGAATAGGACTGTCGAATCAAAAAGATTTCGACCTTTTAGTCTACATGAAAAACTAGGTAGGTAAAGAGATAATCAGATATAAGAAAATAATAAGAGATTTAATATTACTACCGCTTACTGTTGTTAGCAATCTATCAGCTTTAAATTACTTTGTAGCTCAAACTTTATATAATCTAATAATGTTGTTTAAAAACTACTACGAATAGAAGAAACTTAGTGTCATGATAACTCATCGAGTTACCAACACTGGGACCATAAACAGGTGAACTCGTTACAATACAGATAAACTTTGTTAATTTAACGGATCTTCTAATCGATAATACTGAGTGATCAAACAATGGAAAAGATAGGACATTAAATTGAATAATATTCTAAAAAAATGATTATGGTAAAACATCGTTTCGGAGAAAATAAAACTTACTTACTTACTTACGCCTGTTACTCCTAATGGAGCATAGGCCGCCGACCAGCATTCTCCAACCCACTCTGTCCTGGGCTTTCTTTTCTAGTTCCATCCGATTCTTGTTCATTTTTCTCATGTCTATTTCCATTTCTCGGCATAGTGTGTTCCTTGGTTTTCCTCTTTTTCTTTGGCTTTGAGGATTCCATGTGAGGGCTTGTCTTGTGACGCAGTTGGGTGCTTTCCTCAATGTGTATCCTATCCACTTCCAGCGCTTCTTCCTCATTTCTTCCTCCGCTCAGATCTGGTTTGTTCTCTCCCACAGCACGTTGTTGCTAATAGTGTCCGGCCAACGGATCTGAAGTATGTTGCGTAGACAACTGTTAATAAACACCTGTATTTTCTGGATGATGGCTTTCGTAGTTATCCAGGTTTCTGCCCCATACAGTAGAACTGTCTTGACATTTGTATTGAAAATCCTGACCTTGGTGTTGGTTGACAGTTGCTTTGAGTTCCAGATGTTCCTCAGTTGTAAATATGCTGCTCTTGCTTTGCCGATCCGCGCCTTCACATCTGCATCAGATCCACCCTGTTCATCAATGATGCTGCCTAAATATGTAAAGGTTTTTACATCTTCCAAATCTTCTCCGTCAATTGTGATTGGATTGGTGCATTCTGTGTAGTATCGAAGAATCCTGCTTTTCCCTTTGTGTATATTGAGACCTACTGCTGCTGAGGCTGCTGCCACACTGTTCGTCTTCTCCTGCATTTGTTGTTGCGTTTGGGATAGAAGGGCCAGATCATCTGCGAAGTCTAGATCATCCAACTGCCCCTGTAGTTATCACACTTGCTGAGATCACCTTTCTTCGGTATTTTGATCAAGAGTCCTTCTTTCCAGTCTTTTGGTACTTGTTCCTCATCCCAAATCTTATTGAAGAAAATGTGGAGTATCCTTGCAGTTGCCGCTACGTCTGCTTTTAGTGCCTCTGCTGGAATGGTGTCTGGTCCTGCTGCTTTGCCACTTTTGATTTGTCTGATGGCCATGCTGATCTCTTCAATTGTTGGTGGGCCAACATCGATTGGGAGGTCCGTGGGTGCTGCTTCGATGTTGGGTGGGTTCAGTGGGGCTGGTCGATTCAAGAGTTTTTCGAAGTGTTCTACCCACCTGTTTTGTTGCTCTTCAATGTTGGTGATTACCTCACCTTCCTTGCTTTTCACTGGTCGTTCTGGTTTGCGGCGATTTCCAGAGAGTTTCTTTGTCGTGTCATACAATTGTCTCATGTTTCCTTCTCTTGCAGCCTTTTCCGCCGTCGTTGCTAAATCTTCCACATATTTACGTTTGTCGGTTCTGATGCTCCTCTTCACCTGTTTGTTTACTTCGGTGTATTCAGCTTGTGCCTTGGCTTTTTCTGCTCTTGTTCGGCTGGTATTGATTGCTGCCTTCTTGTTCCTCCTTTCTTGAATCTTATCCAGTGTATCAACAGTGATCCATTCCTTGTGATGGTGCTTCTTGTGGCCCAGAACCTCATGACATGTTGATGTGATTGCCTCTTTTATCCCTTTCCAGTTGCCCTCCACAATGGTTCCTTCTCCATTGAGTAGATCATGAAAGGCCTGGAACTTGTTGCTGAGGACTATCTTGAATTTCTTGAGTTTGTTAGTATCCTGAAGAAAGGCCGTATTGAACTTTTGTGATATTGTCCGCCCCATTGTCCAGTGCTTCTTGAGTTTCAACTTCATCTTGGCGACCAGCAAGTGATGATCTGATGCTATATCAGCACATACTCAAAAGACACATTCCATTATCAACAGAAAGACAATGAATAACAATTGAAAGTCAGAAGAGAAATCCAATTTAAGGATCCTCGAAAGGTAGCGTGGTTATTAGCGAGATTAGAGTGTAGCTATTTGGACACAACCAACGTTATATATGTATATTATCGTAAACATTGTAGATAGTAAAGCGAACATAGTGAAACTTACATTATCCGCAAACAATAAAGGATTTTGTTGATGTAATGAAGAGTTTGGGTGACATACTGAAGGTTTACTATATACTGACTGGTCGTCTTGATGATTATTACTAACATTTGACTTCTGAGAATCACAATTCATGTGATTGTCACGAGTAAATAGCAAGCTGCTTAATTCCTGTTCTAAATTATTCACCCTGCATAATACATTTTGAAAAAAAAACGTTGACGACATTTTAGCACATAACAGATGAAGAGCATTTTAATGACATACACAGGTCTTGTCAGAATGATTGCCAATGTCCAAAACTTACACCAAAACTAACAGTTATAGACGACAATGGATGCACACTGCTGAGGAGTCCCATACTAGGACAAGACGGCCATCCAGTGCTCCTAGTTTTCCGCTGGTGTTCTAACTTAAATTGGTTCATGACATGCAACAGTCTACGCAACTCTATACTGAAAATAGTAGACTAAACATTCAATGTTATATAAGAATAAATAATTATTGACCAACTATCGAGTATAGTTAGGCTCTAGATACAAAAAAGGAAATTCGGTTGGACAAATGATGACCAATGGTAGGTTCTAAAAGTTTAATGGGTCTATTTTAGAATAAAAGTGTAAAGAATTACGTATTTCCAAACAGAGAGGCCCCCAAAAGCCCTGGTACGGCGGAGAGTGGGGAGAGTCAGCTCTCCCTCTCTAAATGCTCTCACATGGCCACGTGCACACAACTACTGCCAGGGAAGTCCGACTCTGCCTTCTCGTGACGGAGGTGTTGTCTACGAAATTGAGAGGACAAAACGCGAATTTCCGGCGCTTTAACCGGGTTGGTGGATACGGAGGGTCCACCTAGAGGAGTTGGAAAACCCTGATTTCAAACCAATGGTGTACATGGGCCACAGGATTCTGAAGTAACAAATGGCTTATGAACCTAATGTTGGTCACCGGCTACCATGGGACTGCATCTCCTTACGTTGCTCTACTGCCCTGTGGATTAGACCGTTAGGTCAAAGGCTCGGGGTGTGGTCCCCTAAGAAAACCACTTGCTCCAGTTTGGGCTGTCACACGAAAAGAATGATTTATGTGGCTCATATGTATCTGGTGTCTCCGTGTACCAATGTTTATGTGTTTAAATAAATAAAATAAATAAACAGAGGCTAAACTCCGAGAACATTATATATTAAAAAGTTTTGAAATAACTTGTTCATTCAGTTATAACAACTGTAAGGAACTGTGGCAAGTTATCCATCGGTCCAAGTTACCATAATTTACATCAATTTAATAATAGACCAATGAGATGAAATGGAAATAAATAGAAACAATAATCGATGTGTTGATCCTAGTAAGCCATGTTCGGCTAATGAGCAGCTAAACTAAATATAGGAGACTATCTTATAGATAAAACTGATTTTGATTTTTCAAAGTGTCGATTGCTTCATATTGTATTATTAAAGTCTTATTCTGACCTACATCTGGCTATCGATTACTGGTTGGATAATTGTATAACTGCATCACATGACTAAGTAATTTGTTTATTACTCAGTCTAGTCCTACCGATCTAATTATCGAGGAACGTAGTGTCCGGTGTATCAACTATATCGTCACTAATCGTTGCTCATTAACTTCAATGCTAACCAACACAACACATAGGAGTAGGGTTTTGTTAATTATGTATCTTTACGGACTGCAATTTGGATTCACCATAAAATAAAAGCATCACTAGTAACAGTTTTGACAACAACACTTTGAGTTGATACAATAAAATTATGTAATTATCAAAGTAATATGTTGGCTATAACTCTTCAAACTTTAAATGAATTAGATTAAATATAACTATTATAGAAATGCTATCATCTACAACTGACAATCAGTAAACAATTGAAAAATGAATTAGAAAATTCAACAGTTGGTTAAACCTTCATGAAGCTAAAAACTAAAAGAGAAAAGAAATCTCTGATCCAAAGTCATATTTTTTAGTTGAAGTATTCACTATTAATTTAATTGGAAACTTTTTATACATGTGGATTCCTAGTTCAATTTAAAAACCATGCTCATAAGAAAGGAAATTCCCATAAATTTGCCAGAATTAAATATTTCATAAGATCAGAATTGATTTCCGTAGTGAATGGAAAATCTGTTTTGAAGTCTATAATTTGTGTACAATATTTGAAAACATGAAATTCATCACAGTAAATAATTGAGATGTCAGGACTGTGACTGCACTATAATTTTTTGCAAAAAAAATCAAGGGTTTTTTGTACGATATTTATTAAACACTGAAATTCGCATTTCTCATTTAACTGAGGAAAGCTAATTCGTTAAATACATCAAACCAAAAATCTAAGACAAGCACTCACAATGTCCTTGCAGTTTCCAACCGAATATTAACACGAGCAATTTGTTCCAAGTTTCCATTAGACGACAGTCTGTGATCAGGATATAGCACATTCAAGTTATTGTTTGGTAAAGTCTTAGAATAAGTACAAAAAACAAAACAAATTATTTAAGTATAATCGAGTTTCATTTGTTTTTTAGTGGTTGAAAAGCTCTGATTTATTTAGTCATGCAAGTTTAAGAGTTACAATAGATAAATAACTTGAATGTATCTTGTTACTAAAACGGCAAAAAAATACGGTATAGTGTTAGTCATAATTAATGTAGGACCTAAAGAGAACATCCATTAGTCTAAGCTGCAACAACTCCGTATAGAGCCTGGATTTATTAATACATATATCTTTCCTACCAAAACCACATTCCTAAGCCTCAACACTTCCCACTCCGTGGTTTTATTATAGGTGAGTAATGCTTCGAAGATACTTGTAACCAAATACTAGCAAACTGAGCATGTGTTCTACTTTCATAAGTTATATCCAACAATAATGTGATACGGAGCAGACTGGTCTGTTTGGTCTGAATTAGGAGTATGGTTTGAAAAAGCAGAAAGAAAAGATTTATATGGACAAGTACTGGAGCTTAAGATTTAGAGATAAATAAGGGATGGATACATCTGTGCCACTGCAACTAATTCGGCGCTGTTACCTGTCTACAACCATTAATCGAGGTTATTTTACGAACACCAGACAGCTAGTCTGAATACAATAACATGGATCAGACCAGTAATCAATGACTCTATGGACTGATGTCACGTTTTGGATTGGCCACCACTAGCTTTCTTCCAACCTTCGCCATCACCATCGAACATGCCAAGGAAGGAAGTGGTTCCAGTCAGTCAGTCAGTTAGCCAGCTAGTCAGTCAGTCAACAACAATGTAGAACTTCGTACGTACGTACATCAGTTCAAGTTGCCATACCACATTAACGAAGAGATGCAGTCGTCGATTCAAATCCCGTAGTGGTAGAGGTTATACGAGTATAAGCAGTAATCGAGAAGATTAGGATTTGGAGATGTTATTTAAAGAGTATAATACAGTGAAATAAATTTGGGAAGAGAAAAAAAGAGACAAGGAGGACTCAGGAGATTAAAATTTGGGAGAACATAAAGAGTGTATGCACCTGCGCCATTGCAAACGATTTTGAGCCATGTCATTCAGGGTCTCTAACCATCGGTTGCTATCATCTCGCGGTCCCCAACCAGGTAGTCTACACCTACCAACATGACTCAGTCCACTTGACAGTGACTTCATCGACTTGTGCCATGTTTTGGTCTGGCCACCCCTAGCTTTCTTCCAGCCTACTCCTATACCACTGAGCATCGCACGTCGAGGCAGTCAGTCGTTGGCATACGTAACACGTGTCCCAGCCATCTCAACTGATGAAGTTTCACTACGTCATCAATTGATTTGCCATCCTTACCTAGTACCCGTTTCCTAACAACTGCGTTACTTACTCCATGGTCCCAGGATATACGAGCAATATTTCGAAGATACCTATGATCAAATACTAGTAACCTACGAATATCCTCTAATCTTACCGGCCATGTTTCACTGCCATGGAAGTGGTTCCGGATAAGTAATAAGTGTCCTAGCCATTTCAGTCAATGATGATTCACAATATGATCAATCGATTCGCCATCTTTGAGTATTACTACCCTGAGTCTAACTTCAACATTGCTCATTTGGTTATCCTAACAAGCTCGAGCTATCCTTCAATGATTCTTACGAACAAATACTTCAGTTTCCGAAGGCAATATTTTAAAAAGTTGGAACTCAAATGTATTTGCAACTACAGACCTATAATAACAACGTCCTATGATTTACACAACATGAGATTCAGCACATTATTAATGGAGTGAAAATGACATAACGATGTTAAGTATAGCTCACCTTATCCGTAATATTTGACAATTTTGTGGAAGCTGAATGGAAAAATATATTTTTATCAGTTGATTTATTTAATAAGATTTCAGTTAATGGATCATTATCATGGACTTGATTCCAGCCAGTAATTAGATCGTAAACTAGGACACATCCAAGAGAATGAGCAATTATTGAAACTTTTCCACCTCGAGATTCAAAATCAGGATTCAACCGACGAAACATATCATATAATCTATTGAGTTCACTTTTTAAACTGCAAATAATTTCAGCTCGATACAAAGGACTAGTATAATACATAATATCCATAGCAGAACAATTCAGAACTGTACGAAGTCCTCGAAGATGAACAGGAGTGATTGATTCAACTGTATTACCGTCTAACTGCAAAACAGTTCGCCATTCAACAGGTAAAAATTCCACACGTTTATTTTCTTTATCCAAATGTGAAAAGTAACGAGTTTTTATTTTGTCACAAGTATCACGAAGCCTTTACAATAAAAGAGTGACAGTAAGTTAAATAAGATAAATGTTATAACCAAATGTAGAAAATACGTTTATTTATATAAATCAAAGTTTGTAATTCAGACATCTCCTCTAGATCAATGAATCTGGATAGAAAATAGTCAAACACCACACAACTTGTGACTGCAAACACGTAAACAAGACTGCACACAGCCAAGTTAAAGTTTTAAAAATATTATAATAAATATGAAATCGCCCAATATGAAACCAAGTGAAATCAAATTTGAAAGTTTTATGTAACAACAACTTAAACTATTAACATTCAATCCATTCAAGGAATTTATTAACAACTATTTAATCTCAATCTTGATAGTAAAATGGAGTTTTGAATAAATACTCCAACTAACAAGTAGATTGTAAAGGACATTAGATACCCACTTAAACAGATACCTTGATGATAAAGGGAACATGCAAAACCTTGTCAATAATGCAAATATTATTCATAATTGTAGTAGTTGAATAATAACCTTTCATTGATAAGTCGTTCAGATAGAATTATACATTTAATAGAAAGATAAGTACAAAGAAGAAGTAACTAGTCGATGATTAAATAATGAATAACATTAAGAAAAAATGAAGTATTTCATTGACCGAAAAGATATTCACGTAGAAAACATAATTAATACAGTGCTTTCTGATCAGTTTGCATAGCTTTTAAAGAATAAAAATCACCAACATAAAAACTCTTTGAAAATGTAGTAAACAGGTTAATTGTATACTTAGTACACAAGAACAAGAGCAGCCAAAAAAGTAGGCATAAACTAACTTTTCCACTATGTAATACGCTATTATATTATGGAAGTATCTTGTACAAGTTACTTCGCCTTTGAACGACATCAGTGTTTTGAGCACTGATATGAATACTTCTTTAAAAATACTAACAGTATGAAAAAGTGTAGACATCATATGTTAGCGGGACATAGATTGGATTAAATCATGCTCAACGCACGCTTGAGTTGGTGCACGCTGATTGGCTAATTCTTATCCAATCAGCGCTAGTCGATACATGGAGAATACTCTAGAAAGCTTATGTAAAAACTATAAATATACTGACGTTTTCCCTATTGTGCTTCTTGCCTCCATCTAACCTTGTTATTTGGAATATAATCTCTTTCCTGTACAACCGTTTTCTGATTTGGGGACTTGTCGAGTGATTTGGTGTCCAAGAATACTAAGCAATAGGAATAGCTGGGTTATAACCGTAAGAGAGAATTATAACATCATATGAACAAATAAACAAAAAAGAAAAATACCTGTCTCAAACTACAAAACTGCTACCTTAAAATTAGAATGTCTACGTCATGCATCGATCTACATACAGTTAACATAGTAATATCAAACTAATGAAGAATATAAAACTCTATTTGGTTCTTTGTACAAAAGGAATGAGAATAGAATTTAACCGAGAAGGTAGGAGGGAGGGTAGGGTCGATAGCAAAATATTAAACTATCAGAAGATTGGAGAGAGTAGCCACCACCAAGCATTATACTGTTTCATTGAAATCATGAACCGATCTAAGTTTGACCACCATCGAGAACGTGGATTTCCGTTTCGTCCTAGTATGGGACTCTTCAGCAGAGCACATCTACGACCCCACACGCGGTAACTGAAGTCAGAACCTTCGATCCCGAGAGCGAGAAATTAACTTCTGGACTACTGAGTCGGTATTCAACAGTTCACGAATTCAATGGAATTCAGCAATCACACAACCTCATACTGATATTACACTGTTGTTTACTTTCATGTGCACCGTAAGCTCCTTCTTAATCTTAAGTTTTAACAAGATAATGCTAAGTATCATGAGTTTAACTGTATTGGGTAACACAATATTATGGGGAGACCAAGATAACTAAATCAGTGTAATAAATAATAATTAGTTAGTTTTTAAAAAGTTGGACAAGTAACAAAAACTATATCAAACGTACTCATTGCAATTGTTCAGAATAAGGTTGGTACCCATTTTTTGACCGATCCCATGGATAACAAAACAAAGGTGAGAAACATCGGCGATTTTATCCTCCTTTAGGGCCAAATCATTAAAACCACGACACAAACGAGTACCGACTGAAATTCGAAGAATTGAGATAAATATAAATTGCTTTGGGGAAATTATAGTTCATCTGAATAAATTCCAGTGATTTGAGCAAAGAAGTCGTAGTTTTTTTAACAGATGTATTGTAAGAAATTAAAATTCACGGTCGGGGAAGGATGAAATCATACAAGTACTTAGGATTAGGACGGCGTTAAAACGTATCTTATGAGATGCCAACCGAAGTTTTCAGCCATCGAAATTTGGATTAATTATCCGCCTCAGATACAATTTTACTCTAGTATCCAATATTGGTTGACATGGGAGCATATTAAATAGGGATAGGGGAGACCAGAAGTACACATAGAATCAATCAACCGAGTCACTAACCGTTGAACTTTGTCGTTATAAAGTGTCGAATTACAGCTTAATGTTGTGAAATAACCGAAATCACCAAGTGGAGGTACTAAGTGATGTTTCTGGAAGTGGATCTCAGTGATTCAGATATATTTAGTCGTTATTTTTCTCTGTTATAGTTTAGTTTTAATTTATTCCAATGGTTTCCATCCCCCGATTTAACTTGTAATTTCTGAACGATATTTTTAATTCTTAGTTTTTCATAATTATTAATATTACCGCCGTGGCTTCTTTTATTTGGTTATTTACTTTTAGCCAAACTGATCCCAAGTGTAGTAGCTTAGAACGATCCAAAACCATGTCAAGTCTTATGTTGCTCATGAATGCTCAACTAACAGTAGTGAACAAAAATGGTTGGTTTTTTCATAAACTAATATGATATTTCGATATATTACCATTTATCTGAACCAGTCGTTTTCAGGAGTAATAAAAACTTTAATCTACCGTAACGTGTTTGCCAATTACATATTAATAACCTCTCCTTTAGATATTAATCAACTACTACCCTAATTGAAGTACTCGAAAAGTTATTCTAACTTTTAACCTAATGAAATGATTACTAAAAAGACGCTGCGGTTAAAAACAGTAAATAACCTTTAGAACGATATTAATATATGCTACTTGTAATGAATAGATAACAACTGAGAGTCAGTAATCCCTATGAGTCAAAAGGTGTGGAACATGTTTGGAACTTTATTTGCTTTGTGAGTTTACGTACAGTTGGACATACCTTTCTGCATTCCCAGTTTTTGTCTGATATATAAGCTAGTGGATTCATAATACAAATACAACTCATTTTCTCCATAACAATCGACATGACAATCAGTGAAGTGAATCGTTTGGCAAGCTAAAAAAAAAGTTCAGAAAACGGGCACGAATTGAATCCCCACAATACAACCGACAAAATACATAATAGTAAAGTAGGAGAGCTCGCTTAACTAGTGTTTTAATAACATTATTTAAGAATTTCGTGAGTCAGTTTTGCAATTGTAAGGAAAAAGAAAGGTCGATTTAAATCTGAACTAGCTGATATTGCAAACCAATCTCTCGTTTCACCTACACCGCAGTCGAAACGTTTGTTCAAATACCACCTGATAGCAAGTCTGTTCATCGTTGGTTTAATGACAAAAGGAATTTGTTTGCACATAGGAAGTGAAATACACAAGTGGTTTTTGTATATAATGGGAAACTAGTATTACTTAATGAACGGAATACTTTCCGGAATAAGTGAATCCTCATGTTTTCTTTATGTTAAGTATCTAAATCTCAACATAACTCAGTAACAAATTCTGTAATAGGCTTTTAAGCGTACTTATGAAACTAACAGAACTAAGGATACTGATTGTAATTTGAAAACAAATCAAATGATACAGGATTCAGACCTACTGGTTAGTGGTTGTAATGCATTTGTCTTAACCATTAAGCCATTGATCAATGGCCTAAAGAAGTAATTTTCAAGTGGTGATGGCAAGTTCAGACACTGCTTTACATACTTTTGTGTTGGTGTCATATAGTATTCCTAGGTCTCAGTTTAAGCAAGTATCGAAGCCTAACACACAAACTGAGGCTCAGTTACCAAGACTATAATACCTTTTAGTGTTGATTCGTCGTATTAAAAATAATGGAGGGATCTTTACAAACTGTTTGACGTATCGCCGTTAACAATTAATATTCTGTTCTTGAACAAACAGCATCTCTTAAATGCAATTGATAAAATATTTCAGAACTCATACTAAAAACGGTTATTTACACGGTTTAATACACAACATTCACAATATAATTATGAAGAACACATTGATATCGTCACAAATCTACGTAAAAGTGATTTAAAGCACCACCACCTGTTTGCTATTTGATGTAGGCGTACATTTATTTAGCGACTAATTTGAACAGTGTACTCACTACTAACTACAAGTGTTAAGATTCATTTGCCTGACTGGATTTAAAATATTATTTATGAATTGGGATGTTTCTTTAAGCAAACTGTCATTAGTAGGTTTTCATACTTAACAGCATGAACATGATGTAGAAGGCTGTTATTATTTCATGCACCGAAAACAGCAATTAAAGTGGGAACTATATGGACCTGAGGAGATTTGTGGGGTTTGTACATGACGTTCGTGATGAGAACAGACTTATTGTAATTAAAATAAATACTAACAGTTCATGAAGTATCTTATTAGCTTTTAGTGTTTCCAGCTAACAACCATGGGATAGCGAAGTACGTGAAAGCAAAGAAGCAATGTACAAATTATGAAGTTTTAAATCAGTAAACTTACAACCTCACTTGCAAAAAGTCCTGACAAAGTAGAATACGAGTAACACTGTGGAACTTACGAACTCGTTTTTTCAACACAGTGGAACCACAGACGTTATCATCTGAATAGTTTTCTACTCCAATTGTTAAATCTTTATTTTCAGAACGAGAGGACTGAGAATTTTCGGCAACCAATTCGCTTGTTTTTATAGCATCTGCATACCGAAGAGTTGGAGCGCTAACAACAGAATGAAGTGGTGTGCTGACATCTATTCTAGTGAACAAACTGCTATTTGAGTACAAAGGTTTATCCGAGATAGCGATATTCTGAGGTTTTCTTAAGTACCAAGTGATGTACTCCGCTTCTAAACGTTCAGCCATTGACTCATCATCAAAAGGTTCAAGGGTACCACCATAACCTTCGCGAAACCAAGTGCCGCGCAAAATACGTGCGGGACACCTTTCAACTGAAGAGAAATCAAAATACAGTTTACGCATATCTAATGACAGTAATCGGTTACTGAAATCAATGAGATGTAGACAAAATTAGTTTTAGCGAACACTGAAAAACTCAGTTCTTAAATAAAGGTTTCATGTTTGTAATTTAAGACGGGTTTGAAATCTTATCTTTCATACTGATAATATATGCAATTACTGCTTAACTATTTTACCCACTGTAGGGGAATATATTCAGTTATTTAAGATGAAAAACAGATCGCTCTTTGTGGTACTACAGAACGATAAGCTGGTCTACCCTTCAGTAAATACATACCAACCAACACGCTTAAAATATACGGAAATGCGTATCCATTGCCTGATTTAAAAAATATCTAAGTGCCTTTGCTATAGAAAAATGACGTTTTAAGGATATAAAAAATTCTACTTCAGGCGTAATACAAAGAACTAGAAGTTAAAGTACATCACGTTTAACTGAAACATTCAAAATTAACAGCTTTAACTGACTATAGTTCGTCTGTATTGTATCTGTGAATGATATTGAGTCCCAGTAGACAATAAAGAAACTGATACTCAGAATGGAAAAGCAGAGAACGAAATAAAATCACACAGTAGACTTAAGCAGATATAAACGACACAGGAATACATCGTATCTTAAACGAAATTTACCCGGCCAGTAAGTAGGAACACAACATCGCCTATCAATATCTGCTTCATAAAGTCCACCCCTTACACATACTTTGTGATTGACGGAAGACTGTTCTGAGTTGCATATTGCAGCTACAGTTTGATCAAACAGACAGTCACTTTTATTACAGACAAGGCGGCTTCGATAATTCAACTCCAAATTGATAGAATCGTAACCACTAAACGGTACCCAACGTTTGTTGTTGGAGTCGCGATAAAACCAACGAACCTGAGTCAAAAACTTTAAAGTATTTTAAAAACTACTTGTTCGACTTTAAGTCCAAGGTTATTACTCATGTGCACGTTACGGGAGTTTGCGGACGATGAACCATTACAATTCGAAGTGGAGCCAACAGAATCACAAAATAGATGCCTACAAATCTATCGAAGGAGTAATTCAATCGAGAAGACCAGAATATAATTTTGGTTTACGAAATCTCCGATGAATAGAAATAACAGTTAGCCTGCGCTGTCAATTTATTTTGCGCGCTAAGCAATCTCTAATATCATTGATTTAAGTTATTGCATCAAACAGTTTCTGATTCGATGACTTGGTTCAAATGGTGCAAACGGTTGTGGATGGAATAGAAATAGCTTTCGCTTAGCGTGCTTCCGTTTTTAGTAGCAGTGGATCACCAATGCCTTCAAGAAGGAACCTAGGTATATTAACGATAATAGGGAAAAAACAAATTGGTAAGTCATAGCGTGATACTATCCTTAGTCCTTAAGAATAGATCAAGTCGCCTCTTAAAGGACTCCTAGGAATTCGCTTGGACTAGCTCAGCCGGCAGTGAATTCCAGCATTTGACAACTCTTAAGGAGTAGAACTTATGTCTACAGTCCGTTCTGTTGTGTTGTGTCTCTAGTTTCTGGGTGTTACCCCTTAGGTTTGCATTGAAGCTAAACTTAGGTAGGTGTTTAAGGGGATGTCCAGAAGTTTTAAGGATACTGTGAGCCATTAGGTCACCTCTAAAACGCCTGTACCCTAATGGGTAAAGGTTAGGTGATTGGAAGCGCTCTTCATAAGGCTCGAATTTGAGTCCCCTAACTGATTTCGTGGCCAGCCGTTCGATACGCTCCAGGGTGTCCTTATCCTTTTGGAGTAAGGGAGGAGATACTATGTTTTCTAACTCGAAATGGGGACGAGTGAAACTGTTGAAGATTATGTGGAAAGTTCTTCCATTGAACAGGCCAAAAATGCGCATCAGTGTTGCCAGTACGAGGTTTGCTCTAGAGGCATTTTTGTCACGATTAGCGTAAGACTTCAAATTGTAGTGTACCAGCAGTCCTAATTTTTTTCAACTTGGGTACTTCCAGAGAGGAGTTTCCTAAGTTGTAACTGTAGTCTGCAACATGTCTCAGATAGACTACTTTACATTTTGAAGGGTTAAAGGTAAGTCCGTTGTCGTCTGCCCAACTTTGAAGTCGAGTCATATCCTCCTGAAGTGCCTGTATATCCTCTTGGTTGCATATCTCTCTCCAAAGTCTCACATCCCCAGCAAAAATTATTAAGTCAGACGATACCTGTTGCGGAAGATCGTTTATACAAATCAAGAATGGTGGATGGAGCTTCTGTTTCAAAATTTTAGCGATGAGGAAAACGTCCTGAGTGAATGATGTTGTCATACTTTGATTGTGAGCCTGTAGCCTAAAATTCAATTCGATTGTTTGTGAATAAAATAAAAGAAGCTTTTGCTTCACAAGCTTTCATATATGATAGGACTGAGTTAGTGATGTCTCATCGTAATGACAGTGATATGAAACAAGCAAATCTGAAAGAGATATTGATTAATTCACAAGTCGTTCTGAGCTCTTATGAATATATTTAGTTTCCTCTTAAAAGACTTCGGGAATCTGTTTGGTGCACTTCAACTGGTGGACACTTTTAATGTTTACACAGCAAAAAGTATAACCATTATTCAACTACCAATGGTGCTTTTAAACCCTCGAATGTTCCCCATGATACTTGTGTAGGAAATGAAACTAAATTAGTACAAGGTTGCTACGGATATTCCGGGATTTACAACTAATTTTCTCTTCACAATTTCATAATCTACGGATACCAAACCAAGTGAAACCAGAAGTCTGAAGTGCAGGAGTTTGAGGAAGCATTACAAATGCAGTAGGTATGTCATACCTTGTGTGACCCGAGGTGGTTAGCCATGGTAAGAGAGGCGTACTACAGCGGACTGAATGGTGATCTCGTGAGAACATATAACTGGAAGCTCTTATTTAGAATATATACAGCAAAGCTAATGTAGCCAGCAAAAATGCAAAAGAGTTACAGAGCCGAATATTTTATGGATTTATTTATTAATACAGGAGCGTGGCTAGCTGATTCGTACCACTTAAAGTTCAGTTTTGATGGAATAGGCACCTGGATTTCAATGTTAGTTCCCGGGATGGTGGTCTTTCAAGTGAATCAACGTACTTCTCTATGCGTTAATAGACGCAGCGTCGATCACGTTTTGACGTAGGAAATTTCACAAACTAATCATTCGGTGGGAAGGTCGATAGTCAGCCGACAGGCAATTTGTTCTGAGCTAACGAACTTGTGGTGTATTGGTTCTCAACCACACGTCCCTTGAAGCAGAACATGCGATAACTGGAAAGACTCACACTCAACATAGATTAGGTAGTCACACAATGACAAACCTACAATTGAGGAATAGGTCTATTATTCTAGTAGAGTAGATAAGTGCGCTTGGTTAAATAATGCTACAAACTTTTCTCAAATGTCATTGTGAATTCTCAGTTTTGAAAGACAAGAAAACTAATGTCATGCCAGATGCAAATTTATCACTGAGTGGTTTAAAATCTGATCAAGTCACCTCTAGTACTTCTATGTGACCAGGGGAGTAGGCTTAGTGTGGTGTTTGTATGAACTAACGATTCCTTTGTAGTTGTCCTAATGTGGTGTTTGAATGAACTCATGGTTCCTTGGTACTTGTTGAATGCTTGATTTCGAATTCCAAATACAATACATTCGTTCGTGCTTATCTAGTACTTCTTGATCCGATTACGTTATTCCTGAAATTCTTAGTTCGCACTACAATTCAAATACTCCCAATCATCATATTGGCGTCGCGATTGAGCCTGTGGTGGAACAGTTTGACATACATTCAGATTTTGATGCTTTTGAGGATTACTTGAAAAGTTTAGAAATCTGGGCTATGACCAAGGAAGATGTTGAGGATGTTTATATTGTGGCACATTTCCTCACATTCATCGGAAAAGAAGCATATAGCATATTGAAAACTCTGGCTTTACCGGAAAAGCCCACTTCGCTTTCTTATACAACTTTCAAGGATCTACTGCTAGACTATGTTAAGTATACAAACCTCAAGTGTGGTAAAGGAGGAAGATTTCGTAAAACGATTCATGAGGATATAAAGAATTCCACTACATTACGTCATCCCAACCCAGTGCATACTCAAGGTTATGCAGATAATTCATTGAGGAGTTTGGATGCAGTTCACGAAGATGGGCACAAGTTTGGTCAATTTTTGTCCTGTGGCAGGTTCCACTCCTTTAATTCATGTAAATTTCGTAATTCTAAGTGCTTTGAATGTGGTGATATTGGACATATTCAATCAGTTTGTAATGCTAATGTTCATCTTGCTGCAACTAATATTAAGTCTTGTAATTCTGATTCTACTGAGTCGAGTAGTCATAATGATCATTTATCTTTATCAACGATTTCAAAAGACAGCGTAGTGTCATATAGCAGTTCAGAGTTAAGTGAAACTCAGAATTCTTGCGAGACAACAGTTCCTAATCAATCAACTTATCAGATTTCTCATGTTATTGTACCGGATATAGTTTTTCCGATTAACTCACTTATTTCTGACGAAATTCCTTGCAAATCTGAGGAAAATATGTTGAATGAACCTAGTCATAATCAAAAACCTGATGTAGTTTTGATAGATGGTGATTTTTCTAATGATCCTATACTCTGCAATCACATTCTTAATAAATTTGAGGAAGCTATTTCAGAAGAACCAAATCTTGATGTTCTGTCAAATATTATTTGTTCTCATAATGCATTTGTTGGTTGTAGAAAACTTGTTCAGTGCAAAGCACAAGTGCTAAATGAGCTCGAGTTTGATTACAATTCGGATGATTTCATATCAACTGCTGTTTGTCTTTATCACGAAGTCACTTCTTATGTTTACTCTAAACAATGTGAGAAATATGTTTCAAAGGAAGCCACATTATTCATAACTTGTGGATATAATGATCCAACATTATTTCGTGGGGGAGGATAGTGTTGGGAAATCTGTGTTTGAAATTCTAGACAGTGGTTTTGCTACACAACAGACACGGCGATTGTATACAATCCTAGGAACCAAGTGAGTCTGTTCCGATTTCGATTGTTAATTCTAACACTAATGAACACATTCTAGGTAATACAAAGTTTTTGTCCAATACAATGTCGGACAGACGCAGGATGAATTTAAGGAGACGTACAATCGATTACAGACACTCAGACTCTAATTTAAGCTTCATTTCGAACTCCAAATACTGTACGTTCGTGATATTTTTACTAATTACTAAACCTTTTATTCCGTGGGCGATCTGAATACAAAGAACATCACACTCGATGGTGCTCACACAGTTCTCTCTTGTTGGGTGTGCTAGATCCACAAAAATCATTTCGTAGACGTCTTAGTTTTGTAAAATTGTTGAAGAAATTTGAATCTTTCTCTCATTTTTGTGCCAAAAGCATCCAATTTTACCTTCGGGTTTTATTTTCCACATGGAAGGACCCTAAATGTTGTTGGTTCTGTCTTTTAATATGCTAATTGTTGACGTTTCTCAGGGACTTTTTGATGCTGTACATGTACACTTGAGTTGCACGCTTGTTGGTTACGTGCTTCTGACTGCTTGTGGAATATACTCTTCCCTAGACTGATTCTGGTACTCACCCTTTGGTTAGCCGAACTGGGTGGAATCTGAGTAGTTTGGCTTTTACTATCGTTGTGTTGCTGATTATTGGTTTTCTTATCGATTTTAGGTGATCTCGTAAACTCTCTAAACACAGTGTCTCTGGCTTGAATACCGGCTACTACGTGACACGTACAGTGCGAATTGGGTATATCTGGAATTCATTTGCTTCTACTTACCATACGAACACAGAATACTAAATCGAAGAGGGTCTTTGTTGAGTCGGCTTTCGGAGAACTTCAACGGAGCCTCCAGAGGCCCAAAAGGAACCGAAAAGTCCTAGCAAATCACAGTACGATGGGGCACTCTAGAATTCCAACGTGGCGTGCTACTATTGGTCAGTAGCATAATATGTCGCTAAAGGATTGGCTGAAATATGATGTTGATTCAACAAACGCTAACATCTATAAATGCCCATGATTTTCTGTACAAAAACGAACCTTGGAGTAAAGTATTTCTCTCACACTTTGCGTCTTCTCTCTGGTGTTCAAGTCGCTGTGTAGTTCTAGCTTGCGGGTTATCAGAATAGCTTAGGGACTCCAAACTTCTCATATTCGACCGAAG